ACATGGCCACATATCACCCATCCTAGCTTCACGTCACTGTCTCCTGGTTGCTTTTAGAATAGATTTTAAAATTTTTTTTGTTTTTAAAGCTCTTAATGGGCTAGCCCCCCAGTATCTGACTGAGCTCCTCCAAATCCATGCCCCTGCCATAACAGTGAGATCCTCCAATCAGCTGCAACTGGCCATGACAAAAACCAGAGTCAAAACCAAAGGTGATCGTGCCTTTGTGGCAGCGGCACCAAGGCTCTGGAACAGCCTGCTCTGGCACATTTGATATGCAGGATCTTTCGAGGTTTTTTAAAATCGTCTCTAAAAACACACTTCTTCTCCCTGGCTATTAAAGTTGTAGGGAAGCGGCTGTTCCAGCGGTTGCAGTTCTGAATTCTCCAGAGTGGTGACCAACTTTAGACAAGTGAATAAAGTGAATGTGATTGGTCGATTATCAATGGGGCAGGATTGATATGGCAGAAGGTTCGCAAGCATGTTTGGTTGTGGCCGGTGTCTCGGAAGCATCTTGCTAACCAGTTGGAAACTTAGTGCTAGTAGGTTCCCAATGGGAAATTACATTGGGACCAAGTAGCACTTAGCAACGACACTGTCAAGGAGCTCTATGGACAGTGGAAACATGCAAGAGGAGGACAAGACGTCCATCCCCGTGAACAGTGGGACGTAACTCAGTGGTAAAGGAAATGAAGATGAATCAAGATGCTATGACTGAAAACATTTGATTGACAGATGACCATTGATATATGACAGGCCGAATTTAGGTGTACAAGCTAATGTATAACTAACTGGCCTGCATAAAATAACGTAAAAACCCCCCACAGAATTTAAGACAGGATTTTTTTAGAAATATAAATTTTCTAACTTTTGGGACAATATGGTCAAATAAAGATAACATTTATCTACATGTTTAAGCCAGAATGATTTGAAATTTAAACATGACTTCCCTACGACTTTAATCAAGTCTCAGTGGACATCTGGCAAAGAAAAATGTACTTACATTTTTAGTTAAATTTAACTTATTTTATTCTATTTTATTTTCATTCTATTTAATTGCATTGTGTTTATGTATCTTAGCTTTTAAGTTTTTACCTTATTTCCTGCAACTGTGATATCTGTACATCATATTGGTCAACCCTTGTTGTTTTAAATGTGCTTTATAAATAAAATTTGAGTTGAGTTGAAGGTTAAACAAAAGGAAAAAGCAATGGAAGTCAGAACTCATTGTTTAAATTACCAAAAACTATATGCAACTTCATTTATATTATAGCTTGGAGTTCAAAATAAAAATGTCTTTTTTATATACAGACACTGCATGAGTACATGAACCTCTGTAAAGTAAACACAAGAACAAGACAATCAAATAATTACTTTTATTTATTATTTTTAACAATTTGGACTATATTGATGCTGCCTGATATTTATTTGAATAATGAAATGATAAAAATCAACATCACAAAATAAAAATGAAATGTAAAATCTGAACAAAGTCACGTAAGTAACTTTGTTCTGGTTTTACTCCTTAGGACAAGTAGGACAGCTCATGTAATTTATTTTACAATGAAAAACACTTTTATTTTGACAGTCTCAAGTTGATTTTAAACAGAAATAGACAATTTTTTAGGTGACCAACAAACTAAATCCTGTTTCTTCACATGTATTTCTATAGTAGTAGTAAAGACAGATGTAAGACTGAAGAGAAACCAAACCGAAAATATGAAAGACATGGAAGATATAAAGCAAAAACAGAGTTGGTAGCTATTTCTTTGCTATTTTAAATGAACACATTTATACTACAACAAAGCTAACTAAGTATTCAAGGCTTTGAAACACATTTTCATATGAAAATAATGTTTCTATCAAAACAACAAAATCACAAGTTAATGCTTAGAACTTTTAGTTAAGATTCCCAGCCATTCAGGAAATTGCAAGATCAAAAAAGGTTAAGAAAAAATAAGCAACGTCTATATAGGTAACGGGAATACTAAAAAAGCATGTCCATAGATGCATGACTCAACACAGTAGAGCCAGCTCCGTAAGACAAGAACATGCTCTGCATCGAAATCTAAAGCATAGACAGTCTTTTGAGTCTGGTGTTCATACTTTGGACAGATAAGATGTATGATGTACACATATATCAAAAAAGAGAAAACAGCTCTAAAAAAGAGGGGTTGGTGCTTGATTTCAGCTTTCAAAAACATAACAGCCTAGCATTGAGTTTGATGCCTTCCACTTTTAAACCAAATCGCTTCTTCTTGCTGGGGACCAAATATCACTTTAGCAAAGACAGACACTAGCCCTGATTGTTAGGGGGGTGTAATCTATTTTAGAAAAACATAAAATTAAGATCCATATTGGAACTTATCCCTCACCAGCTCTGACTTGAGATAGCCTTTCAGACAAAGAGTAAAAAATCCAGAGAAAATGAACCAGGATCCAGAAGTTTTTTTTTAAACCCTTTTTGAAGATTCAGTGTAAAGCCTATGCAGTCATTTTTAAACAAATTAACATCCTCCTACATGTAAACAAACATCTATATTCATACAGAGCTGATGGTGGCTACATAAAAATGACCTAGTGACAAGATTAAATGAGCTGTATTATTATAATTTATGCTAGCTAGTGAAGGGTTTGGTTACCACTGCAGAAATAAAGAAGGAATAAGAGCAGGGGGGAAAAAAAATCCTAAACAAACCGTAAAGCTTAGTACTTTTTTAACTGAGAAAGCATTTTCTATGATAACTGCAAAGTTTTTTTGTATTTTTCCAACTCTATTTAAGTTGTGTTTACTGATTTCTATTATTTTTTTAGTTAAAAGTACCTGGGTATAGATACAGTATGCACTTCATCTTACAATCCTTTTTTTCATGCTCTACGCTCAAGACGTGAGCGCTGAGCCCTTGCCCTTGCAATGCTACCAAGAGACCCTCTTCTTGACGCCTCTCTTGCAGGTGCAGGCTCCCTTACAACAACGTCGCACACTTTCTTGCAAGCTTCCATTGATATGAAGTTATTGGCATTGCCTTGGCAGCCTCCATACCAGAACTCCTTGCATTTTCCAGTGCTATTGTCATAGGTGAATCGAACCATCCAAGTATCACAAGGACCCTCATCACGGGGCAAGAAGCACACGTTTTGAGTGGGTGGATCAGTAGGGCCAGGATGCAGCTGTTCAAAAAAAAAAAAAAGGATGAAGGTTGGGGTTAGATTTAAGATGCAGGAAGTGACGTGGAAAAGGGCAGATTTTGATGAAACAATAGTGGGCCTCATGCAACAATATTTTCTTGTTCTTGTTGGTTCCTACGAGTGTGCCATATCAGATTCAACAAATCAAAATGTCTTAACTTTAGGCAACTGCATAAATAATCTAAACCTGATGCTTTCCACCTTTACGTAAGGGAGCATCAGAATTTCAAATCTGCATGATTCCATATAAGGCTACATTTGTCAGATGGTGTTCATTCACAAAAATTGCATTGATCGAGGTTTTGCTGAGCAGCAGAATGAAAGGAAAGCAAAGCATCGGGGAATAGATGACAATATGTAAATTCTTTGATTGCACTGTTACAGAAGTAAAATAAAAAAAATGATCGATACAAAAATGGTTTTAAAATGTTCTATTTTTAGCAAAAGCAAGCCAGTCGATAAAAACTACTGGCGGAGATGAGGTGAAACATATGATGTAAAGGCTAAATATGAGTTCACTATCAACCAATACCACACAGCATTCTGCAAAATCTGCTTTAATACACATGCACAGGATGTACTATACATTTCCACACCACGCCTGTCAGTTCTTCATCACACTCTCCCTCTCTCTCATACAACACGTAAACATAAAAAGGTAACTGAAACTCTAATTTCACGAATTCAGACAGACCCACATCCAAACATTCCATATTCTATGTAATAACAAAGCCAAGGCACCGCTTCATGAAGTGAACTGAATTCACCATTACCATTAGTAGGGTTTCAAGCATCAACATGTTGCTTGATTTCACATAGAGGTCACTTATTGCAATTTCTTTAACAAAATAAAAAAAAATTGAATAAACATTCGAATTACAATAGGCCTTCGCAACGTCTCGCTGCTCGGGCTTTACAAATGTCCTCTGGATACGGACATGCCAGCTGCATGTGTAGAGACCAATAGTTGTCATCAGAGAAAAAAAATGTAATTTATAATTGCAGAGCTGCATCATACATAATGATGTTGCCTAATTCATACTGGATTTTGAAATGGACATTTGGATCTAAGTCACAAAAAAATATATATTTAGGTCTGGAGCACTTACAAACATTGTTCATGCCTGAGAGATGATTATAGATTGTAGAAAAAAGGTGAATGCAACATTTTCTCCTAAATCACTTCTATGTATGATTTAAGAACAAATTTGTCCATAGGAACACTTCTTGCAATGCCTCTTTTAGGTTCTAGGATATGCAAAACAATTTCTTCACTCTTCATCTGCCATAGCCGCCAAGAATGGTCACCAGCAGACATACTGACAATGGTACATCTTTCCTGTAATCCAGCTTTCCTGTAAGAAATCACTTTGCTTCCTACCTCAGTTGTCTGAATAGCAGGACATCCAGCCCTTCCAACACCCTGAGCTGGAGTCACTCCATCCAAACAGCAGCCATACCTATGGGAAGTTTCTCTGTTAGAAATGTCATTTGAATTCATCGTCTGGTTTCAAATATCCGATGAAGACAGGAGTTTACCTGCTCTGATTACAGTCATTTTGTTGGCAGCCCTGATACCTGGGTCCAGTCGCAGAGGTATGGCCATCAGGACAGCAGCCATAAAAAGATTGTGCACAATGAGGTCCATACACAGGAGGGTAAGGAGGAAGCTCTCTGTGTGTCTCTGGCCTCAAAACTAAAGCAAGAAAATAGGAGATCACACAAAGCATTATAGTTGTAAACACTCTAAAATGCCATAGACTCTTTTTTTTTTATATCTTTCGTTGATGATCATTGACTTTAGACAGAAGTTTATGACCCAACCTTTCCCACCAGCCCCTGTGACCCTCCAGTCACCACTCTGGACTCCTGCTTCCTGTATGAGCTGAACATCACCTCCCTTCCCAAAAAGGAACAGCAAAGGATATACTTCCTGCAGCAGCTGAAGAATTTCAGCCTGCTAAAGACCATGATGATGTGCTTCTATCATTTGGTCTATACTCTTATCCTCATCATCATCTCTAACCCTGTTCCCACCACAAATGGCAGCCAGCAGCATATTATTCGCTCTGCAGTGAGTGTGATTGGGTGAAATCTTATTTTTGTTCTGGAAATGTAAAATTCCCGAAACTTTTCATGTCCTACCAGAACATGAAGTGTTTAAAGTTCTCCCCTTTGGCAGAAGACATCTAGCCATCAGGACCTGAATATCCTGCCAAAATAACAGCTTCTTCCCATCTGCTACTAGCCTTACAAACATCGTTCTGCACTGACACCTTTCCCTTTGGTGTACAAAACAAATAAATCAAAATAAAAAACAACATCAACAACAAAAGAACATGTCAGCAAATGTGTAAATCTACAATATTTAATTTAATTTTAAGCTCCTGTTGTTGTTTAATATCTTGCCATGCTGCTCTTCATATACAATTTGCATTTGTTTATGCCAAATTGTACATTTAAGTATATTTACTTATCTGTGTGTAACAACTCATCACCATAGCAAATTATTGATATGTGTAAAACAATACTTGGCAATAAAGCAATGTAAGATTCTGATTTTCTTAATGATTTTATGTATATATTGTCAAATATCTGAATACCTCACAACAAAACAGGCCAGGGATGATATGGCCTCTGTGTTTTGTTAGAAGTGTAGAACATCATAGAATACAAAAACAGTGTACACATCTGCTCAAGTTTTCATGGAAACCTTATACTTTTACGTGGGAATAACCTTTTCATGCGACACACTACATACCCAAAGGATCTGGAACATGTGGCACAAATCTTCTTGGGCTTCCTCCAGCCCCTGGATTTTGAACACTTGGAACCACTTTAGAAATATATAAAAACACAAGTGAAATAAATCAATTCTTAACAGAAGATGTCAAAATAAATGTTCCTTACTTTGCACTGCTGGACAGGGTTGCACGTTGCATGACTCCACAGAAAGAGGTCTACTAACTGCTTCGCATTGGTCCTCTGGGTAGGGGTTGAGATCTGTATCAAAGCAACCAACCTTCCTCTCTCTCACGCCACCTCCACAACTTCTTGTGCACTACAGGAACAAGAGACAGATGATGACTTAAAGATAACAGAATTCAAACAAAGTGTCAATGACATCTTTTATTTTACTTACAAGCCCAAACTCGGTGACATGCCAGGAAATATGCCTATAACAGGCAGGTCGGCGGCAGGTCTGAACAGCAGCGGGTCGAGGCAGTCCTCTGCATGCATGGTCAGGGAGGTGTTCACCTCTCAGTCCAACGCAGACCACCTCCCTTGTCTGCAGGCCTTCTCCACAGGTCACTGAGCACTGACAATCAAAGCACAAAGCAAGTCCTAATGAGACATTACCTTGTCTCCTTATGCCAAGCTATTTCAGGGTAATGGTACTCAAATCAGTATGATATTGTAATTAAACCCTCATTGTGTTAGATACAGACCACACTGAAGCTGGATACACTGTACTCTGCAGCAGCACAAGGATGCATGTTGCAAGGCTGCTGACTCTCGGGCCTCTGGAGACGCAGGGCAATGCAGTGAGACTCGTCCACCAATCTTGGATTGGATGCGTCCTGAACCATACAATCTACACTGCGGTATTGCACACCCCCATTGCAGGTGGCAGAGCACTCCCCGTAGGCTCCGGCGATGTAGACATACGTCAGGGTTTCTCTTGGCCGTGGAACGCCAGCAATGGGAGAAGAGGAATGAACAGAGTTGCTCTCATAAACCTGTCAACAAATCAAATGAATACAGGTGATTTGTTCATAAAAGTTGAATAATTTGCATTAAGTTTAAGAATTTCGAACTGAATATAAGAAACAAATGTCACCACAAGAGTTTTAACAACATCAGTGATATTAGTAACATTTTGATTATGTGAATACTGTGCAGTATTACCAACCCCTATTAAATACTGCTGAGACAAATTGATCAATTTTCTGATATTTAGTTAAATAAATGATTAGCTTTGACTCCTTGGCTCCTTCTTTCTACATGCTCCTGTCAGTTTAATTCCTCAATAAGTGTTTCCTTTACTGCTCAGATTCACCCAATTTCCCCTGTATTTAACTCAATTTATTAAAGGTCACATAATATTCTACATTTGAAAATAAAAACTATTAACAATTAGGCCTCCAGAGCATGCTTTTGCCATTTATGTAGGAAAATTCTTCTTAAATTAGGCTGATAGCTTAAACAAAAAGCCTCCATATTCAGCCCTTTTTTAGTCGAGCCGTTTTGGCTTTGCAGGTTCCCCAAAACCCACAACCATGACAACCAGTAAGAGTTCGTAAAGATGACCTAGGAGCACTGAATAATATATAAGATGAAGGTCAAGCTCGACCAATAGGTGGCTACAGGTTGCTCTGGATAGCCTATTTCCCCTCATGACATCACAAAGGTCAAAATTTTAAAAGGCGGAGAATCGAGTGAGAAAGGGGAGAGGGTTTTTTCATTTGTGAATCTCATATTCAGGTTTCATACGACTGTTACAAAATGTTTATAATGTGAAATTTGAATAATATGGGACTAAAAAATAAACAAATGTCTATAATACAGCAAACAGAAGCTCAAGTTATATACAAATAAGTAAATCAGTTAAACAAATGATGAAAAGAGAAATAATGCTCCCATGTAGAAACCATTGTTTTTAGTACCCATATACCTTCTATTTTTCTTTTTCTCTGTTGGATGTAAAATCTTCTGCCACACCAGCATCCTTATCTTACTCAGCAACCTGAGCTGTGGCTTCACTTAGTCTAGCATATTCCACTCTTGACTTTTCCATATGTGCTGTCTCTATATTTGCCTGTGCTGCCACCCAGCTTTACAAAATAAAACAATATCAGATGTAACTTACAAAATAATCTTAGAAAATCCTTGCTTTGTTTAAGAAATTGAGTTTCACTATGCAAGCAAAAAAGGTTGGGTTTTTTTGTTGTTGTTACTTTTAAAAATGTACGAACAGTCACTTAGAATACAGCCAACAATGCATGATGTCTCAGTTTTTCTTGATTGTTATACACTGTGTGTGAAAATGTAAGTTTTATTTTAGAACTCTACACACAATATGACAAAAGTCACAAACAATATACACACCCCTCAAATCTTGTGTAATTTCAAACTTTACCTGAAAAAATAATATGTATTCCTATCAAATGTTTACACACACTCACAGAATATTAAATAAATCAAGATTTGTAAGAACCATTTGAACACTGATGATCTCAGTTTAAATCACTAACAATAACCTTGACTTAGATATTTTCTCTTTAGTTTTTCATTTTGCAGACAGTACATAAGTGTGATGCAGAGTCAGTACATACTAAAGCAGTACATCTTATAAACTATTTATTACATTAAATAAAAAAAAATAATAAAAAAAATGTACACGTGAAAAAGTGCAAAGTTGCAAGTTGTACAGTGCTACACTGGGTGGCAGTGTTTAGCATGACACACTGAAGTGATGTGACTAAGAAGAAAGTAAAACTTCTAATCTCACAGCAATGCAGGAACGTTTTTTATGGTCTACTGTAAGCCAGGGGTCTGCAACCTTTCATCTCCAAAGAGCCATTTTCCCCCATGTATGGCTAAGTAAAAGTAATTTAGAGTGACAAAATATAACATGACTTTTTATTTTAAAACAACCTATTATTTTGGTTTAATATTTGCCATTGGAAATTTGTTTCCACCTTAAAAAACAAACATTTGATTCGCTTTTTTAGCTTAAGACAATAAAAAAGTAAGCAATTCATAAGGATAAAGGATAGATTTTCTTCTACATGGTATGATAATAATAAAACACATAATCACGAAGCTAATTAAAAGAAGAATAGCTAGAAAAAAACATATTTCTGATGCTTTTACTGTCCTTCTGTTGTGAACATTCAATTTAAATATTCTTTATAAGAACCAATAAAATTTCTAAGACTGGTAATTAGTATTATAGTATATTATTTAGTTCTTTATATCTTTTTTTGGCCGCTATTAAGAGTTATTTTACAGGGTCTAAAGAGTCACATGTGGCTCTGGAGCCACAGGTTGTAGACCCCTGCACATTCATCAATTTGAGTCCTACCCCAGGAGTTTGGTATTCAGGACACCCAGCCATTCCGAATCCTCGAGCTGGTGTCACTCCATCTAAGCAACAGCCAAATCTGTGAGTGAAAAATATTTAATTGGTACAAAGCAATTTAATTCAGGTCCGATGCTGCTTTAAAATAAAACTAAGAGGCACGTTGCCTGCTATTAATGCAGTCCTCTAGTGTGCAGCCATGGTTCCTGGGTCCAGTCGCTGGTGTATGTCCGTCAGGACAGCATCCATATGATGACTGCATACAAGGAGGACCTAACACAGGAGGGTAGGATGCAAATGTCATTGAGTGTTTCTGTTGTTAGAGCCAAATAAAGTAATGAAATATATACTTTTTCCTAATCAAGCTATTAAGATGGATTATAGAAGAAGATGTTAAAAACAGAATTTAATTTAAAACAAGAATTCTATATTTACCGGAAGCTATTGTAAAAGTTGATTGTAACTGATTTGATTGGCACACAGAGCTTGTCCAGGATATAAGCAAACAAAGCCGCTGCTTATAGTTACAGCACTTGTTTACCTCATACAGATTAAAAATATTAATGAATTCAAATTGATTTTGATTCAATAAATCATTTCAAATTTACTATATATAAAAATATATCAAAAAAGATTTTCTTAGTTGAGATTTAAGAGAACCAACCAAACTAAGCAATGTTTTCATCAAAAGAAAAAAAGGCTTGATAGTTATTCTAAAATATTGTTGCTAGTTCAAGATTTCCAAATGAATTCTACTAAAATTGTCTTTAACTCTAGATGTAGCATTAAAAATAAATAAATAAATAAATAAAAAATATATATAAGCATGTTTCTATTATGAAATAAGAAATATGGAATTTCTATTTGCCCAAACATGTGATAGAAACAGCAGTCATAGACTGTTATTTTTTGTCTGTACATTTGGTTGATATGCAGATAATTAAGACTGCAAGTATGCAGATAGGAAGAGGAAATAGAAGGAAAAACAATTTGACAAACCTGACTGTTCCCCTGGAACATGGGGAACAAACCTGATGGTGCTTCTACCTTCTGATGAGTTCTGAATGCTTGGAACCACTACAAAGAAAGAAGGCTAGAATGGTAAAACAGCTCAAATATACCAACCAAAACACATCCATAGTTACTATTTGACTTACATTGTGCTCTATCACAGGGCTGTGAATTGCATGTTTCGACAGAAATGGGTTTTCTATCCAATCCACATTGATCCTCAGGGAAGACATTCAGATCCGTATCAAAACAACCAATCTTCCTCTCTCTAACACCACCACCACAGCTTCTAGAACACTGCAGATTAAAGAACACTTATTGATAAAAAAAAAACTAAAACTAAGAAAAAGTTTTTGGTTTTTTTTATGCATGCACAGAGACCTTTTTTTCAAACTTACAAGTCCAAACTCAGTCACATGCCAGGAAATGTGCCTGTGACAGGCAGGACGACGGCAGGTCTGAACAGAAGCAGGGCGGGCCAGTCCTCTGCAAGCGTTGTCAGGGAGGTGTTCCCCTCTGGATCCAACACAGACCACCTCCCTCGTCTGCTGCCCCTCCCCACAGGTCACCGAACACTAAAGAAATTCGAAGATTAAAATGGCCAAGGCATATAATCATATGAAAACAAAACAATTTTACTATCTTTTTAGTTGTCAGTTACAGTGCCTTGAAAAAGTATGAAGATTCTATTATTTTTTTAAAAATATATTTTACATCAACCACCAACACATATTTATTCTGTTGATATTTTTGCTGGAGTATAGAATACACAGAGTAGTATGCATCTGTAAAGCAATGGTACATCGTAAAATGTTTTCATATTTTTACAGATCAAATAATAATCTTTTCTGGGTCTTTCACTGTGACCAAAAAATTTAAAGTTATTAAAGCACTGTATAGCTCACTGGTGAGTAATTTAATATTAGTATGACTTCAGCTGCTCTTCAAAGGCCTCAGAGGTTTTCTATGGCTAGTATGGAAGGATGGCGAGAACAATTATATCGTTGAAAAAAGAAAACAATATATCCTTGTAGTTTGTTTTAACTGATGAAAGGGACATACAAAAAGTATTGTGGAAAAAAAGATACTCTGGTTCAATGTGACAAAAAACATACCAATGTGGTGTGAATAAAAAGTAGTATAAGGGATTGTAGAACTCTATGCAATAGCCATGGTAACATAGTGATGGAAGTATCATGATGTGGGAATGGTGTTCTTTTTCAGCAGAGAGAGGAAGATGGTCTGAGCAAACTAATTCTGGAAAAACTGTCACCTTCCAACGAGAAAAAAACAAGAACATTCTGCCAGTGTTAGAAAAAACAGTCTAAGTGAAAAGTTTATAGAGAAATACCCAAGAAGACTTGCAGCTGGACGTGCTGCTATATTTGGCTCTCAATACGCAGAATCCATCCAAGAGACTTGAACACAATTATTTGCATTTATTTAACTAGTATAAACACATTTCCAATGCACTGTAAATTAAACAAGTCAAATACTGACAACTTTAACTAAAATTAATATGGCAATTGTTTTAACTCAAATGATAGTCAGAGGCCCAGGTTATAACTAAGATACAAACCACACTAAAGCTGGAGACGCTGTATTCTGCTGCAGCACAAGGATGCATATTGCAAGCCTGCTGACTCTGTGGCCTCTGAAGGCGTTGAGCAATGCAGTAAGACTCATCCACCACACGGGGGTTCGATGGATCCTGAACCAAACACTCCACAGAGCGGTACTGCATGCCTCCATCACAAGACGCAGAGCACTCTCCGTAAACTCCGGCCCTGTACATGTACATGTGTGTTTCTCTTGGATTGGGGGAAACAGCAACAGGAGCAGATGATTCAACTATAACTGTGTCGTTATCCAAACCCATGAACTCTCCATGGACCAATAACTGGAAAAGGACAACATGATAGAAGAATATCAGCAAATAATTTAGTTATACACTCTGCAAGATGGAAATAATAAGGTTTTAGTTTTAGGAATTATGTTCAGTTTTACAAATTTATGATTTTCAGCACAAAATGTAATCACAAAAGATCCAAATTTGGATTATGAATGCCTCTGTTTGTGGAGAGAACCAAAAAAGGTTTCTATTTAAAATTCATGGTATACTCTATAAATACAGCATCAATCAAAGTTTTAAGTCTTACTCGACAGACTCCATCCACACAGATGTCAGTGCGCCCCACATAGCAGGGAGTCCCGTCTACCACTTTGGGCCGGTGGCGGTAGAAAAAGTTCTGTCCCACTGGCACACAATTTAGTTCACATAGGTTGGAAGCTAGAATTTTAAAGGAATAGACAACAACACCAGAATCAGATGTTTTCTGCACTTTATTGTTGGAATACTGCATAACTTGATAAATCTAAAACAGAGAATTATGTAACACATTACATTTGGAGTTTAAAAGAAATATTAATCCATCCTGTATGCAGAAGGCAAACTTTGCGGGATATGTACAGCTTTTCTTTCTTATTGGTCTTGGTAATATGTTTATAGAGCATGTAACAGAAACTATACCTCCATAATAAGGCACCCATGAGTGACGTTTTCCTTGAAAGTCCATCCTGTCAAATTCAGAACACTGCTCCTCCCGGAAATCTCTTGATCCAACAGGGCAAGCCTTTCATACAAAAAAAGAAGCCACTTCATCTCTACATTTGTAAGTATTTTTTTGTCTGCACATGTTCATATTTTCTGAAAGGAGTTTACTTGTGTATTGCAGGTGAGGAACGATTTGGAGGATCCCACACAGTTGTGACCTCCATCTGTCCTGCAGGACACAGGACAGATATATATATATTATATTATACAGGACATATATATTATATTATATTATATTATATTATATTATATTATATTATATTATA